TTTGTTTCTCTTTTTGAGAATTAAATTATATTTAGAAGTAAAACAATTTATTAATATATCGATTGTTTGCGATACCCTGTGACCTCTGTACAACTTAGTAAATGACAACCCTGTAAGAATTTTCCATTTAAAATTTATTCAAGTTAAAAACTTGATTATGGCTAAAAACAGCACGTAACAAATTTCCAGAGCTTGAATTACTAGAGAGGTACTGGCGACATCTGTGAGCAATTTTGGTAAACTTTCAATAAATTAAAGGCATTAGTGTATTTAAGTAATTCTAATATAAAATTGCTTCGTTTCGGACTATATATGAGACAGAGGCAGAGACAAACACTTTCGATTGCGTCTCGAAATTAACCCAAATGTGTGTGTTATAAAATGACCACACGTTCCGATTTTGGCGGGACAGTCCCGCGTTTTGGAGGACTCTCCCGCGTCCCGCCGATTTTTAAAAATGTCCCGCTTTTTGGAAAACATCTGCATTTCTTATTTTAAATATACTGTAAAAATATATTACCTATTATTTATTAATTATTATAGTGAATATAAAGAAATAAAAAACATATAAAATGCATGCAGAGTAAACTAAATTAGGTGATGTAACGAGTTAGATTTACTCGGTGGTGTTCGATCATTGTCGTTACGTTTTGTCAAGGAATATGTATTGTTGTGTAATGGAGAAACAGCTAGCATTGGCTGAAGGACTATTTGCTTTCCACACCATAAACCACAATCAAAGTTTCAGATCAATTGATTGTACGTCGCAAATGATCAAAACATTGCACGACAAACAATTTGCACGTGCAAGGACAAAAACCGAAGCAATTATTTGTAATGTTTTTTCATTATATTCGTTTTCACAATTGCAGAAAGAATTAGATTTTAAATGCACATTTATATCCATACATTATGATGCATCCAACCACAAAGATTTAAAATTATTTCACACAATTGTTAGACTGTTTGATCCAGAAGCAGGAATTAAAATTAGAATATTAGATTTTGTTTCATTGCCGGGTGAAACTTTTTTTTCTAATGGCGGATTGTGAACAGTTTGTAACAGACTCCCTTAATTCTATGTCCAGATGTGGTGGTCTCTTTATTATGGAGACACCTAATAGGGGAGCCACCATTGCCTCCCATGAATGGACGGACAATTACAACCATGCCTTCTCCGGGATTCAAACCCAGGCCCTTCGGTATCACAATCAGGCTTCCCTAACCACTATACCGTTTGGGAGGCTGCCGGGTTAAACTTCATAAATAATTTTTGATTCAATAAGTATTATTTTAAAAAAGAATAATTTTAACGATAAAATTATTGCCTCAAAAGGCATCAATAACGTTTTTACGACGTTTGAACCAAAAAATTATTCGAGTAGGTTGTGCAGCGCACATTCTACACAATACTATTCAAACAGTATCTGACTTATTTCCAGTGGATGTTGAAAATATTATTGCAAAAATTTATTCGTATTATATATATATATATATATATATACTTTGCGTGTCAAAAGTTTGAAGGATTTTTGTGAAAGCGCAGAAATCGAATATAAAAGAATTATTGATAACAGCAAAACACGATGGCTGGCTCTTTTAGCAGCTGTAGAGTATATTTTAAAAATATACGAACCATTAAAATCATATTTTTTATCACAAGATAAATGTCCAAGAATATTGCAGCTGTTTTTTGAAAATGACACATCACAAATTTGTCGTTAGTTCATCCACAACCAAGTTACATTATTTCACAATGCTGTGAAAATTATTGAAGGGGACAAAATTTCAATTACGGAAGTCCACAATTTAAAAACAAAATTGCGAGAAAGAACTGATAACGATTGCGTTCCCTTAGTTATTCGAAAGGACATCACTAGGTTGGAAGAACAAGGTACCATTAAACGACCAGGATTTTCTGAAAGAAATCATGAATTTTTATAATAACTGTTTGAAATATCTTGAAGAATGGACAGTTCAATTCGAGGATATTCAAAATTTTCACTGGGGGAAAAAGGAGATTTTATGCGAATATATGGATAAAATTTTGAATATATGAGTAACCATTTTCCGAAAAATAATATTTGCGAAAATGATCTTTTTGATAAGGTGTCATTGGTAAGAAGATACGTTACTGATGAAAAAGTTAAATGTTAGTTGCCTGCAAATGTACAAACAGACAAACAATGGACGGAGTTATTCCTTCATTTTAAATAGAATAATATTTTTATCAAAATATTCTGAAAACTGTAGAATACGCGCTTTCCCTTCCAGGAACAAATGCAACAACAAAAAATGTTTTTACTATCATTAAAATATGGGCAACTGAAAAAAACGCAGTTGAACATTAAAACTTTAAAATCTGTATTAAGCGTAAAATATAATTTGACCAATTCATGTGAGAAATTTCACGACATTTTAATAAATGATCCGAATCTAATGCAAAGTATTCACTCGGAACAAAAATATGACCGTGAAAGAAAATTGCAACTTTTTTAAATAAAAATATTAACTAATTAAAAATCATAATGTTAAATTTTTGTTTTTACAAATATTTTTATAGTTACCTATAATTAATAATATATATATATTTGTATATTTATAAACAAGTACATGAATGTATACAGTAAAACATATTTTTTGAATTGTTGGTCTGCTTTCATAACTAAATTATAATTCTCGCTTTTTCTCGCTTTGTCTAAATGAAAATGTGATCACTTTGTGTGTTAAGAAGACGTTTCGTATCAATGGTATTTTCACTTAAAACAATCTTTTTGGTGAATAGAAAGATACATTTTGAGAAAATAATTACAATATCGTTTACATTTAAACGTATAAATTAAAATTAATCTTCTAATCAATAAGAACAAACATAATTGAATTAACTTCATTTTTCTCTTCACTCGCAATGGCTTCCTGATGCGGAACTTGGAACGTGAAATAAATTTCATGGGTGAAATTATTTGCTCGCATTTATAACTTGAACCGAATGTGGACAAAATGGCAAAAGCAGTTTTTTCGGAATTATGGCATACGGATCGGCGTTGCCAAATTTATTGACTTCTTGAAATTATGTTACAGTTTTAAAAAAAGCATGTTCGCTTCTGAAGCTTTGTAAACAAAAAAAAAAAAAAAAAAAAAATGTTCTTTATTATTTATTTTCAGTTTCTTTTTTATGCATTCTTCGAGTGTCTATATGTATGATTATTTATGTTATTTCATATTTATGTTTCATAGTTTAATTTTAGCCCAAAGGGGCTTGGGATTTTGCTTCGATTCACTACAAGCATTGTTTCACTTTTCAAATTGTTGCCACCAAATATTATTGTTCTGTATTATATTTGAAGAAATTAAATAATGAAGAATTTGCATAAATGTATGTATGTTTCTCTCACTGTAATAAAACAACGGTACGAAGAGCCATCAAATTTTGAATAACGTAATCTTTGCCCGAAAATGGGTATCTGGAAACCCAAATTTGAAATTTGGAATTTGTTTTATTATCTATTTCATATTTTGTAACACTTTAACGAATTTTTGACTAAAATACTCACGGTTTTCAAAGCGAGCAATGGCAATGTTGTACAAAAAAAAAAAAAAAAAAAAAAAAAAAAAAATTATCTCCAGTGCCCGAGACTGTATCGGAAATTCTATAGATATGCTCATTTTAAAATTATTTTGCGATATTGCTTTTGATTTGAATATTATAGATTAAGTGCGAAGAACATGATATTTAATAAATAAACTTAACACATAAAATGTTAATAAACGCCTCTTTGGACGTAATTTAAAATCTGAAACCTTTCAGTTTTTTTTTATATATTATACTTTATTTTCGGAACTCAAGTATGTCACCTGAAATTATGAAATGGGTCACTCGGTGATGTGTGGGTCATAGGTTGCCGAGGCCTGCAGTAACTCTTATAAAAATGCTAGTTCTAGGAAAACTTTCAAATTATTTTACTGTTAAATATACCAAAGAAACTGTAAGAAGCGCTCAGTATTTGTATGATCAACAAATTTAGCGTACAGGAAATTGATGTTGTGCATTAATAAAATAAGAGCTCTAATCTAGAAATTGTCCAAAGACAATACGAGACGGTGTGCCTATCATATAGGGTAGCAAAGGGACAAGTATGATTTAACAGAAAGTATAGCTAAAGAGTAAAGAAATGCAGTAAAGACCGACTTCAAACAGACGATATATAGGCACCTGCCGATAGCGCCGAATTTTGGCGGCGATCAACTGAATTATTCTCGTAGACGTCTACTAGTTTATGTTACAACAACTAATTAATGTTTATATAAATTTCTTTGAAATATAAATGTTTTTAATTTAATGGGACATCAACTATACTAATCCCCTTCGGCCCTGAAATTACTAGAGCCGGGTCTAAAGTATCATGCGTTTAAGAATAGAAACAGAAAATGTTTTAGGAAGAGAAGTGAGAGCGGAAGAGTTAAAGTAGAGAAAGGTGATAAGAAATACTAATGAAACCATATAAATGTTTAAACTGTAAATTTTAATAAATTCTAACCATTTAAATATTAAATCTGTTTTTTTATTATTTATTTATTTATTTATTTATTTATTTTATTTTTTTTGCTGTAACCTGAGTTTGTAATTTCAAATTTTCAAGTTTTAATTTCTGCCACGTTATATGTTTTACCTTATCTTCGCTTTCAAATTTTTCTTTTATAATTATTGCTGATCATAATTCAACCTATGCACCAAGAATCTCGAACAGTTCATTTAGAACTTACAAAAGTTGTCTTCATTCAAAGCTGGCATTTTAATAAAAATTTTGAGAAGGCGTAGATGCATTGTTAATAATAAAACACAAGATTCTGTAATGAAAATTATTTTTTAAGTGTTAATAGAAATTTCACAGTTTTCCTAAAAATATGTAATTTATTTTTGCCATAATTGCGACAAACTTCTAAAAAATTGCATGGTTCGTAGATGAATAGTTAATTTATTTCCCAACTCAAAAAACAACAAAAAGTTAATATTAATTTTATTCATTTTGACCCAGTTTTTTATATACAAGATGCATTATAAGAGACGTAAAGCAACAACAAGACGTAAAGCAACAATAGGAGTAGTAAAAAATACACATAACACAACATCTTCTCTTTCAAACATTCCTATAATTTAGTTTGTCATTACTTTAGATGAATTATAAATTAGCAACATTCAATTATTTTACATCGAGAATACTACATATAATATCCTTTAGATTACTTTTAACAACACAAAATATCTGTTGCGAAAGATGCATTTTTACATAGTCTTCAAATATTTCTATTTACTGTATATTGCTGTATTAAGTTTACAAAGTTTCGGCTAACACCGAAGATTTTCTGCTTCTTGTTTGGATGGCTGCATGATATATGCATATATCTTTTATTTATAATTGTCCATAACGTGCATTACATTTGTAGTCAAATCAAGCTATATAAAAGAATTTGTGAAAATGTAAGCCAATTTAAATATTTAAACATACGTTTAATATTCATTAAAGGAGGAAAGACAGATAAACGCTTTCTGTTAAAGTCATGTCCTCAAATGATTGGTAATTCAATGCATACTGAAAATAAGTTTGTATATTTTTAGCCTATTTGAAACGTTCATAAAGCAGTCTACGTTTAGAAAAGAAAATAATACATGGCACACATAATTTTAATTTAACTTGATTGTACAATTAATTTTGCTAATTTCTGTAAAAATAATTATTCATTATTTTCGCTCATAAGTTCTTCAGATAAAATGATCACATATATAGCATTATTAACGCACATGAAATATGCAATAGACATTGATTGCATCTAAAAGTACATAGTACTCAGTCATATGCTAGATCATTTTAAGAAGAGTTCATTTCTAGTGTTCAGTGTTCGGTTCAGAATGTGATACGTATGAGAAATAATTAATGATAAGGCTCAGTTGTTGACACTGATGATCTGATTTATCCATCCAATGTAAGATGAGACTTTGACATAGACTCCAGGAACGTTCTCTTTCCCACATCCAAATCCCCAGGATACCAATCCGGTCAACTCATAATAACCTTCGTTTTCACATGTCAAAGGACCGCCACCATCGCCCTGAAGAACAGAAAATTTAAGATAAGAATTTATGTTCATACAAAATTTTTAAGTATATATATTTATAAATTTCTTACAGTATTGTTACTCACTTACGTATTTGTAATTTATCCCTTATTTATACGCAAAGCAATACAGATTCTTAGGTTACGTTCTTCGTTACGTAAAGAAAACTTTTTTTTTTTACTTTGATATATATACATGCTTGTAAAGGTGACGATGCTGAATAACATCGCGTTATTTATTTTATTTAAGCATCTTTTAAAAATTACTTTTTTACTTGAATTAAATTTTAATTTAAAAGGTACTTTTTTACTCATTTTAGTTACTTTAAAACTACTTCTTTACTTTATTTATTACGTTTTCTTCCTTTAAAAATTACTTTATTAAGCTACTTTTAAATATTTACTTAATATTGGAATTTTACTTCTTTCTGTTAATTTACCTGGGTTGTACCAGAGTAAACGTCTATGGTTAACTAAAAATAACAGTTAATCCGACGACAGTTAAATAAAAGCACAGGAAAGAGGAATAACCACACTATAATGAACAGAAAAATACTTTTACCAATTTATCTCTATTTTCAAGCAGCTTGATATGGAGAATAAATTCATCTGGTTACGTAAAGTAAAAGAGTATTACGAATAAAAAGAACCCATTGTAAATAATAAAAGAATATAAATATATTTACAGATGAAGAAATGAATCTATATATGGTATTCAATAACAGTATTTACAAGAGAATTTGAAAAATCTCACTGAATACAAATCCGTATAATAAGGTTGAATTGTTGTGGTTAAAAAGATCCTAAATACTATGATACTATAAATGTAAAATGCCATTCAATACTTTTAGTACCTAAAAGTATTACTAAAAGTATTGAATGGCATTTACATTTTAGAAGCAAATAACACTTTTCTATTTAAATAGAAACAATTTTTCTTTGAAAACATCTCATCAAAAATTAAATACAGTAAATTATAAAATACCATGCATATTTTGAGAAATTAGTGTTCCTAAATAAAGTTTTTAAAATGTTTCCTCAAAAGACAGTTACAAAAATCCTTCATTTTGAGAAACTACTTATGCATCGTGTTTGAGATATTAAAATGATTTAATAAGTTTATGACGCATAGTTTGTATTATTTTAACGCAGTTAATTTATTAAATGATTTTTAATTATTTTTTACTTTCTAAAAAAGTGCTATTACATTCATAACAAAAGTTCTAGTAGTTATTAATATTACATCGTTTCGCTATCGAAATTTATATATTTCCACAGTAAAATTAAATTAAAAATGATTTTAAAGATAAATAAAAATGTTAATATTCTCATAAAATTCAATAAAAAAATGGGTGATGAAATATTAATATAGAGAGTTGATCTTTATCTGATATTTTATAAAGCAGACATTCGTACCCCCCCCCAATATAAATTTGCATAGAAAATTTAATAGTAATACAAATGCTTCCATGAAGTATTATTTAAATTTAAGTAAGGTGTTATACTATCATTTTTTATAAAACTTTATATATATATGTTATGTTTCGAATTTTAATCATATTAATATGTGTTTTAAGTTATCATTATTCTGGTATTTTTATTTGTACTCATGTGTATTTTAATCTGTAAAAAGAGTTTTTTAAAATTGTTAAAGCCTTATTTAGTAGGTTAAAGCCTTATTTAGACTGTAGTGTAACAAAGACAGGTAACGGTTGCAAGAGCCACCTGGTTTATTGGTTTATGGCCTTTTCCTAACAGTGAAAGCAGTTACGTTGTTGTCGCTTTCTTCGCTGGTGGCATTTGTAACGAAAATCGTCTTCCTTTCGCTTTGTTGTATTTGCAATGTTTCTTTCAGTAAGCTTAGTAATTGGATTCTCGTAAAGCTTAGTTTCCGCTTGTTAGTTGGGGTGTCCACTTTCTTCCCACGTTGTGTGTACAGATGTTTTTGGACTCTATTGTCTGATTTTTCTTGTTTTTATTCGTTGTGGGGGTGTAATTTTCTCAGTTTAGATAAAGTAAAATTATGGCACTGGTGTGATTTTAATTTTATGATTTTTTTGTAAGCCAATGAAATTTTCGGGGGGCGGAGAGGAGAGTTTACCTCGGTGCTTACACCTTGTTAGAATTCATTCTGATTCTGATTTTCGAGCTAAGAGAAAGAGGAGAAAGAGTGAGGGCCTGACCCCTGCGGGTCTTGCTCTCGCGAGCGCCGGCTGTTGATTCAGATTTCGGAGTTTGATTTTGGAGCTTGCTAAGAAAGCGTTTAAGAAAGAGTGTGGGGGCTTGACACCTTGCGGGTATTGCTCTCGCAAGCGGCGTGTACCAGCGGGCTCCGGTTATGGTTTTTCCTTTGGAGTCTGATATGGAGTGATGTTGAGCAGCGGCGATGTGAAAAAAAAAAAGCGAAAGAGGGGCAATTAGCCCTGCTGCCGGCTTTGCCGTGCGGCCGGTTGCCGGAGCAAGAGGGCTTGGGTTGCGTTTTCCTTTCCTCTAGAGGATACAGTCTTTTCTGCGAAATGTTTAAAAGTTTTTGTGCGAGATGCAAGGAACATTTTACTGTCGAGATGTCTAGCCCCTTCGCGCCGACTGTCGCGTCTACGTGCCAGCAACGAACACACTCACTTCCCGGCCGACACGCAGGCGTGCCAGAGCGTTTTCCCGTTCAGTCCCGACTGTCACGTATTTGTGCCAGGTCCTGGAACGTTTAAAAACTATAATTCTGCCACAGATGGCATTGTATGCCCATATGGTTTCAGATACATGTACATTAGACCTTCTACTCGAAATGAGAGAAGCATGACTCACATACAGTGTTTTGATTATATAAACAAGGTGAAATAAATGTTTCCGAACGGCGTGATTTATGACGTCTCTTTAAATCGCACGTGGTAGTTTTTTATTGGAAGTAGAGAAGTTTATTTCGCTAAAGCGTGGGTATTTCGGTGTAAATTAGATAGATATGAATTCTTTCTGTTTTAGAAAAATTAGATGTTGTGACGTGAATCTTTGTTTTCCGTGCATCACACCAAGATCAGCAGACAATTAAATCCGCTCAGATAACTGAAAGACATTTCCCAAAACTTTTTTCAGAAGAGATGCTAAGAAAATGAGACGACCGATGCTTCGTTTGTTCACATTCCGGCTATAGAGCAATCTACCAAGAAATTTAGAAACAGATTTCCCCTCTTTACCCGACTCCGGATAATCTCTTCCAACTCTCAAATTTGATATTCCCCGTGAATTGCCGACACTTGGAAGTTCGGATCGACTTGTAGTTATTACTTTCCGGCTCTTGTGGTTCCTGGCGCCCGAGTTCCGCCCATAATTGTTCCTGAAGGACGAATTTTTCCTAATCTGGCGGTTTAGTTTTACAAAAGGACTTCCCATTCCAGATTTCTGTACAGAATGGACTCAGGGCGAGAGTGTTAGTTTAAAGTGTAATCAAAGGTTGGCAAGGAAATAGCTTCCTCCGTGACTAGGAAACTGGACACTCCCCTCAAGTTGTGTATTCCGAAAATATGTTGCTGTTTAAAAGATTATTTTCCTCTCTCTTAGTCTTCCCAAAGCCATAGTGGAACAGTTAATATGATTATCTACCTTTATATTGTAGTACTATATAAATTAAATATTACAGTTAGAAAATTGAGAAGTGATTATTATTAAGTGATGGCAGTTTTGGGATGTTTAAAATTTGTTTTACCTACTGAGTTTGTGAGTCAGAAAATGTTAGTTACTAATAATGGAAACATTGTTGGAGAATTAAAATTGTTACACCTCTTAATTGTGAAAAAATTGAATTATTAAATGTTTTACTTATTGTAAGGGAAATTTTTTGTGAAAGATGCGACATTTTCATAGTAAAATTATGTGGTGAATACTGAACGGTTTCTCTATATTTTATATTATATTCAAGAATTTAATAAATGGTTTGATTATAATTAATTGCACTTGTTTATTTGTATGTTAACTTACTTTGGTCTGTCATGTCACTCCATTTGTTTGAGCCGGTAGGCTTTTAAGAAACATGAAGCTTTTATTGAATATGTGTTATTGATTTTTCCTTTTGCACAGGTTACTCACAACGCGAACCTAAAATTTAACTTGTACTACCACGATACGATTGTTTATACGATTGTTGTTCTTATGATATATAATATGTTCTTATGATGATTATATATATTTTTTTTAGTTTTTTTTTATCCGGCACCAGTTAAGTCAAAGTTAAAAGTTTCATTATATAATAAGTTTAAAACACGTAATTTTCAGATATTTAACAATTAAATTTTCAGAGATTTAACAAAACTCACAAAAGCATAAAATACCTAATTTTCAGATATTTAATATATTGCAGCTTAAAAAACTGTGGTAATACTTGAGCTAGTACTAATGAATTTAACCATTACGAGAAAAAAGTTTGGAAAAATGACGACTTTTTGGATTTTCTAAGAATTCTGATAGTCTGAACCAGAAGTTGAGATCCAGCATTCATCAATTTAGTAAGTTCTGCAACTATGGAAAGAAACTCTACTAGGGAAAGATGTTGGAGTTAGATTTTCAGTACGAGGTCTATTTAATTTGTGACTTGAACTGACTTATTTTCCATGCTTTTGATTTAAGAATGTTTGATTTTTAGTTATGTTTCTATTAAACTTCGTGAATTTATTCCCATTTTGGAAGACATCATTATTTAAAATATTTAAACTGTTTTAAGTGGCTACTTAATATTAATTTTGATCCATATGATTGAATGTTTTGCTTAAAAAATTCAAATTATAACGTATTTTACAACTTCATCTTAAACATAAAACGCAACAGCATGAGTACAACTTTTATTTGTTCACTGACATTTCTTATTCATATACATATTACAAATTACACATTATGGTTGTGCTTTAAGGTGTTAAGACATATAATAAATAATTATTAAAAAGTAACTTTTAGAATTAGTTATTACAATGAATCATACCATAAATAACAGTGTTATGAACACAACTGAATAAATCATTGTGTGTGATAAATGTTAAAGTTATATAATGAATATTTAAATTCTTTAAACATTATTCGCGTTTTAAAGTGTTCGGGATTATAATATAAGCAATCATTAAAAGGTAATTGACAGAGCTATAATTAAATGAATCACATTGTGAATAACTTTATAGTCCTATAGTGCATTCAACTCAGTAGTTTGAAAAAGTGATAATAATTACAGACATACCATTCAATACCTTTCTTTAATTTTAAGTTTTAGAGAATTACTATGTTATTTACCTGACAGGCATCGTTTTCTGCTTCTCCGCCAGCGCAGAAGCTTCCTGCTGGTAAAATGAATCTTTTTTCCGTCACTTTGTTTACCTGTTCCGTACACAGCTTCTCCTCTACGATAGGCAGTTCAGCTTCCCGTATTTTCAAAGCGATTGGGCCAGCTGCAAATTAAAAACAAAATTGGTTAAATCTTGCACGAAGTTATTGCAACTATTTGCACATGTATAGTAAACTGTTCATGGTATTGAACGTTTTAATACGGGTTAAATCAGTTGTCTCAAACTGGAGGTCCTCAAAGCAATTTTATGTGGCCCGCGAAGACATTTTAATTATAAATTTCTTGCTAATACAATATTACAAAGGTTTCAAGCTTTTAATTATCTGAAGTCCGAGGTTGAATTATTTTCATAACCATTAAAACTAAAGTGAATAACACATTAGAAATCCATAAATGTAGTTAACTAGTTTACAATGTAATACAAATCTTATTGTACGATTTGGAGATACAGATTTTATTAACTTATAAGATATTTCTCTCGCCTTCTTAGCATGCCTTCGTGGTGTAATGGTCAACACGCTTCAGTTAAGAATTTTAGCACTAAGAATAATCTGTTTGTTCGGAAATACATTCATATGTGAAGAGCACTTTTACACAGTTAAAATTATCTGAAAAAAAGATTGACGACGAGCATCTACAATCCGTGATGAAGATAATTTCTAACAATTTTTCTCCTAAGCTGCAAGCTTAATCAAAATTGAAGCACTAGTAAGTGTTAAGCTGTAATAAGAAATAAAAGAAATTTATAGCTATTTACATATAAATATATGTATTTTTATTTATGCGTCAAAGAGAAATTTATTAAATAAGAGAAAGAGACTAAGTTGTCATTATTTACTCTTAAGTTTTGTCCTCAGAAAATTTGCATAGAACAGTTAAGAAAGTTTTCATAACTTCTCTCAGTTTAAATTACAGTAAGTAATTTCATGATTAATTAAACACAGTAAAAGTATATTAAATCTGAGTCTGAAATTCTGCCTGAAAATTAAAATTTAGCTGTCAATATATTTGAATTACAAAGTGTTTAATAAAATTGTTTTGCAAGTATCGAATTTTAGATTTCAGATAGAAAATAAATAAAAGTTTGCATTTTTTGTATATTATTATTATTAGTTTGTTTTTATTAGTAATACTACCATTATGAGGTGTTTCTCCCGCCTTCTTGGTGTAGTGGTCTGCACGCTGGACCCGTATTCCAGAGGTCCGTGGTTCGATTCCCAACGAAGGCGTTGCTCAATTTTTATCTCTCCGGCTCGAAATAACCTAATGTGTCTACAAGTGACGTCCGAACTAAAAAAGGTGGCGGATGACGATTTTCCGCCACCAGGATGTGGCGATTGGGTCCCCTAATCCCCAGTCGCCCTTTAAAAGGGGAAGTATATAAGGTGTTTCTATCGCCTTCCTAGCGTACCTTCGTAGTATAGTGCTCTGCACGCTGGGCGCGTACACCAGAAGTCCGCGGTTCGATTCCGGGCGAAGACGTTGCTCATTTTTAATCTCTCCTTCGAAATAACCTAATGTCTCTACACTTGTTTTGAAAAATACTTACTAAGGGAAATTTAAAATTTAATTCAAAATATTTTATTATATTGTTAATAAAAATTTTGGCCCATTAGTTGTTTTCAGATCATGAATACAGACCAAGGGCAACTGGAGTTTGAGACTACTGTGCTAAGTAAGCCACGCATAAAAAATTATGCATATTCGAGCGCCGGTTAGTTAACAGACTTCAGATTACTTCATGAATATAATGTTAGACATTAGCACATTAAGTAGATTATTCAAAAAGTAGAAATAAACAAATATTCAGAAAATAAACAAATAAATTAATCTTTACTAGTATAACGTAGCTAAATATTTAGTCACATCACATTTACAAAACTTTTTACCTTGTTTGATTTATAATAATAATTCCAATCCAACTCTTCCTAATACTTCCGAAACTCTTAATCTGTTAGCTTTTTTATTCATATGAATTCCCTCAACATATGGCACAAAGTTCGTTTGCTTTTGCTCCTCCTGTTAATTTCTATATATTGTTTTGTATCTGAAGAAATCTATATGACTTATATCTCGCTTCCCTCTAAATCAATAGAGTTTTGTTCAAAATCTACACTAATCATACGCTGCTTTTTTTGTCTTTTAAATAATATGCGTCCTGGTTAATGTAGTTTAGAATCTTAAGCACAGCATTCTTTGCAAAAATTTTGAACTCCCTGAAAATTGAGGATCCTAGTAGGAAATTGAGGATCCTAGTAGGAAATTGAGGATCCTAGGAGGTAATCGCCCTAGTACGAGATGAGAAAAATACTCAGAAGAACTGCAAACGAAACAATCTATTCACAGGTTCAACATACCCCCCCCCCCAAAAAAAAAAAAAAAATTCTGTTACTTTTTTGAAACAAGAAAATAAAATACGAAAACAGTTTTTCAAATGTGCGTTAAAAGGGCGAGTGGGGTTTAGGGGATCCAGTCGCCAAATCCTGGTGATAGAGAATCATCCACCACAACTGGTTTTTTAGTTCGAGCGCCACTGTAGAGATATTAAGTTATTTAGAAGCAGGAAGACGTGAAAAATGAGCAATGCCCTCTCCGGAACTCGAACCACGGAACTCTCGAATATGCGCCGAGCGTGCTGACCACTACACCCCGAAGGCATGTTAAGAAGTCGGGAGAAATACCTTATAGGGTAATAAACAGAATTACCTAATTTGAACTTGTGTGCGATTTTTATGAAAACAATAAATAAAACCATTTTCAAATAGAAGTATGTTTTTTAGGTCGAGTGTCAAATACTGTTAGAAAATCTAATTAAGTTTACATACAAAATAATAAAAAATGTAGAAGTGTGAAAAACTTTTAATAATTTTCTTTTTATAGATGTTTCATAACAAAAGAAACTGACCAAATCACATGTAAATTTATGTCTTGGCTATGTTAATTTTTTTTCCAAATATTAGCCGGGCAGTTAACAGAGAATTAAACATTATGACATGCAGAACATAGCAAACTTACTTTCACTCATATAACCATAACCTGTGACAGTGCATCTCTTCCCTGGTTGACTTTCAGCACCACGAGCTGGTAAGCAGACTAAACACACGCTTTCTTGCAATTGCACGGGATTTTCCAGTCGTAGCAATGCTATGTCGTTGTCCAATGTTTGTCCGTTATGGTTATGGTGGATATAGGAAGTGGACACTTTCTGCGTCTGCGCTCCAGGACTTCCATATTGACTGGCAAGATCAAAGTCTCCCACTCGAACATAAATGGCTTCACCATTTCGAACAAGCCTGGTAGAAAAATATGAAGATCTTCTATAAAGCATAATGAAATCTAATCACTCCCTAAATTAATGATAATGTTCTATATTCCGATTAAAAGAAGATTCTAAATGAGCAGTCTTTTCTGGAAAAAATCATTAAAAGTTTAAACTATGGCAACAAAATAAATTTTACGAAAAGATAACATCAAAATGAAAAAGAAGCCAAAAAAAAAAAAAAAAAATGCTATGTCGTTGTCCAATGTTTGTCCGTTATGGTTATGGTGGACAGGCTTTCACGGCATGATAAATGTTTTTTGATCCAGAACTAAGTTTTTTTTATAAAGAAATATTTCCATTTTTAAAATGGATTTTAATTTGAAATGATACATTTTTTTATTTGAAATTCGCATTTCATTTATTTCAGTCAAAGTGGTGGTGGTGGTGGTGGGTATTTAATTATGGCAAAGCACACTAGGGCTATCTGCCTAAGAGGAGGGATGCCTTTCGTGGAGGACTTTCTAAGGGAAACTGGCTCGTATACACGTTACACATGGGGAAAACCACGAAAACACCCATGCAGCCAGCCCGTTCGCGGGATTCGAACCTCGGACCGAACTACCAGTGTTCAGCGACTTTACCGCTCGGCCGCTGGTGGGCCTCTTTCAGTCAAAGAAAAAGCGCGTTGGTTTAAAAGTTTGGTAGCCTTTTGTTTTAAAAAGCATGATTATAATAAACATAGGATTAAAAGTAGATATATTCGAAAGCAATGCAAATTCCGATACTCATGACAATAAGTAAAATTTCTGCAATTAAGTAATTAAAACTACACCTTTTTGTTTACTGTTGAAATGCAAAAGAATAACACTGAGGGATAGATAAAATTGAAACATACGAAGAAAATCTTTAAATTAGGTAACATTCAGCCTTTTCAGAAATATAGACATAAATCGGACTGGATTGTTTACATTCTGACAAAGAAGGCTGTCTACCCAAGAATAACTGCAGTTATATCTTCCTAGAGAACTTCGTAAGAGAAGTAATCCCTCATTTATGTTACACATGAGAAAAACCAAAAATCTGTACCACTAGCTCGTTCGACCGGATTGGAACCGAAGTTAAATATCAGTGTTTAGAGTTCTTTTTTGTTCAGATTTTGATGGCGGTGGAGAATTAAAATCACTGGCTAACGTTTATACATTTTCATGACTTTCGAATACTTTAAAGAAATTTGAAAATTCGACTCAAAATGTTTTCGATAATTTTAATGAGAAAAAAAATCACAGATGAGAATGATCACAGATGAGAAATGTATAAATTTCTTTATTTTTAAATGTTTCAGTTTTTGTTGTTTTTACTAATCTACTAGCAGCAATAAGTGCAATATCACAAATTTAATTAATATGATTACAAAAAAAAACTTATGACTCTGAGATGAAATGAAAGCTATATTTGTAAAGTGTTATTCTTCACACACTGTCTATAATCTTCAAAAAGTAAAAATAATAGAATGAAAATAGGTTACATTATTTTATTTCCCCTTATAATACTCCGTGCAACTAAAGCCTGCTTGAAATCCGTGAAATTTACGTTAAATTTGTTAAATTGGCATAGATAAACTTCGAAATGTTGAGATTTAACTTGAAATTTGTTTATAAATTTCAAATGGATTGACACCGTGGTTATACCAAATGAAATTATACAATACTGTAGGAAATAACGCAGTGTATAACTCTTTCGATTAGGAAAATATTCCTGTAAACATTTAACAAGGTTACTTTCAATGATCTTGTTGGCGTAACAAAAGCAATAAATGTCTAAACTTTAATTAGCATCGACCACTAGCGGTCGAACTCTAAAGCCGTTCTACATTGGCTATTCGATCTGGGTTTGATCCGGTTTCTAATCTTGGTAAACGGGCTGGTTATATGGGAGTTTTCGTGGATTTCTCCATATGTGAGGTGGATACAAGCCAGTTTCCTTGGAGGCACCCGTCCCCATATGCAAATAGTTTGCGTTGCCTTAATCAATTAACGTATCTGAATTAGGATCATGGTAGGTTACCTATATTCACAAGAAACCTTCTAAACGTTTTAGTGTTAGATCTAAAATCTAAAATACAACTCTTCGCAGAAGTGACCTGTTTCTGAGAAATCTACTTGTTCTAAAGAGAGCTTCTGTGATCAGTTGTGATAGCTTATGTTCATAAAAACATTTTTCAAAATTTACAATGAAATTACAATTCAAATTCACAAATTAAAGTGAAATACAAAACTTGTTTTCGCTATTATACAACAGAACCAGATTTAATACTAACATCTTAGGCTCACTGGAGTTCCTAACCCTTAATGCTTTCTTTTAAACTAGTTCGAAAACCTAACACCCAGGCAACAAAAATTTTATCTATAGATCAGAGAACAGTAAACTGATCAGAAATCTTTTAATGAATGCAAGTTTTTAAAGTATTTATAAATTAGATATTTTGATAAATAATAATTTTGAAACACCAGTTTAAGGCCTATACTTTTATCTAAATAATAATTAAAATCAAACAAAATAGTAGTTTATTGATGCTACTGTATAATCAATATCAGGAACTGAATCATAATATTTTCTTACAAAACTGAAGAGAATCATTCGGATTTGGAACATGTATGTAGCACAATCATCAACTGCAAGTTTACTTGCAGAAATGAAAGAGGATTATCCTATCTAGGATTATTTTTTCTTCATGATGAATTTAGGCAGCCTTGGAAACTGATACCTGGATATGCTGTGATTAAATATTTTTAAGTTGTTTCATCAGCAGGGAGAGATTTCACTCACAACGGATTATAAAGATTTTCAACCTAACCTCTGAGTTTATTCATTAACTTCATTGTTGCATGTTCAATGAATTTCTGTTAAAACAGTAACTAAAGTTAACAACTTAGGCTAAGTGAATAACGGATTTTAAAAAGATGATGTTTTTCTCTTGTTTACTGGAGCATGATAAGGTACTTAACATAGTTGAAGGATGGTATTAAGCATACTTAAGCGAAGAATAAAAAAACTCAATGGAGACCATTTGAGCGTGTTTTTTCCCATTTTTTTCTGCTAACATTTTTAGACGATTTTTTTCCATATAATGACTTTCCATAAAGAGCAGGTGATGACAATTTAAGTTTATTACTTTGAATAAGGGTCTTTCCAAAAGTATTTAAAAATTTTATTTTTCGCGAATTTTCAGATAACTCACGTTTTATACCAGAATACGTTATAAGGTATTTCTTTCACCTTTATTATTAATACTACCTGTATGTGTTTCTTCCGCCTTCTTAGCGTGCCTTCGTGGTGTAATGGTCAGCACAATCGGCGCGTATTCAAGTCCCGGCGAGGGAATTGCTCATTTTTTCACATCTTTTTTACTTTAAAAAATACGTAATGTCTCTGCATTGGCGCGGAACTAAAAAAAGGTGGTGGATGATGATTCTCCACCACTAGATTTGGCGACTGGGTCCGTTGGTCAACAGTCGCCCCTTAAAAGGGTGATTATATAGGTTATTTTTCCAGTATTCTTAGCATGCCTTCATGGTGAAGTGGTTAGCTCACTCGGCGCGTATTCGAGAGGCCCGTGGTTCAAGTCCCGGCGAGAGCATTGCTTATTTTAAAAATCTCTCCTGCTTTAAAAAAGTAACTAATGTCTCTGCAGCGTAACACTAATTATTGAAGAATATATGATTTGGCTTCGGTTTGTGATTACGGCAAAGCCTCGAGGGCTATCTGCCTAAGGGAAGGGATGCCTTCGTGGATGGCTTTCTAAGGGAAACTAGTTCGTATATACGTTACACATGGGGAGAACCACGAAAATGCAAATGCAATCACCCCTGCTCGCGGGATTGGAACCTCGGATCGAATTACCACTGTTTAGCGACTTTAGAGCTTGGCCGCTGATGGGCCTGAAGAATATGTAAAAACTCTTTATTATTATTTTAAATTTAATTAATTTTCATACACCAGCAACTATTATTAGTACTCTTTTATTTTAGACAAATTAAGTTGTTACTCAAATAAGCGATTCATTAAAATAGAGTGAAACGCTCTGAAAATGTTTCGTGTGATCAACAAAGATCAGGAACGAAAACTTGTTCGAAAAATACGGTTCTATACATAAGTTTTAAATTCTGTGCGAAGATTAATTTATTTTATTTTATTATTAAATTTGAATATATTAAGTGTAAATTAATTAGATGTGTAGATTTACTTCATCTATTTGAAAGACTAACAATAATATTTTTTTTAAATTTTAAATTACATTGCTTTCTTCAAATTAACTTATTGGGTCATCCGATAAGATCTGCAGTTTTTTTATCATAAATACAAATGAAGCAGTACAAAAAACATAAGAAAATTTCATTGAAGCATATAAGCACTGAACTCCTTCTTTAAAAGAGTTGTTAATTTTTTATTTCTAAAGAAATTATCGAAGTGATGTTTGACACTCTTTAAAGAAGAGAATTTCGTTTAGATGGCAATTCAGAGAATTTTGAAGTGACCTGTAGAAATGAAAATCCAAGTGACAAGGTTTAGCAAATATGGGATACTGACACAAAATATCCCAACTATGCTCAGTAAATATTGTCATTCATCGAAATGTAGGGCTGAGTGTGGGTGTTGTCGTGATGAGAGACAACACCCCAACAAATGGTCAGTTCTGGGCACTTTGCTTAGGTTTTCACTTTTGGAACTGCTATTTGGTAACAGTATTTTTTTCAAATTTCTTGTCTAATTTCGTGGTCAACAATTATTAGTTTGCACTTAGTTTCATACTAACAATTCTTAGTTAGTTTAGTTTTTCATAGTCCTAAAAGCATTAATTTTTTGGGAATGCAGCCCCTCTCGATGTTACTAAACGCCATGATCGTTTTTCTTGTACCAATGAAAATAATGTGATGAATAATTGTTTTCTTTATTTCTCTTCAGCAAAGGATCACAAACCGATATTCAAGTGAGCATTTTCTGCTCTGTTAAAGCATTGGAGTACCTATACATCGTAGCAGCTTACATGATAATATACTGTACTTTTAGGAATGTTTAGACTGCCTGATAGTTGAGCTCTATAACGTGGATTTTCAGCTATAACTGCTTTTAAGAGGTACTTGTTTACAATGAATAATCATCCAGAACGGATATCGTCTTCGAAGCTGAAATTTCGATATTTAAACTTATCCAACTGCCTTCGAGCTGTGTCAGGAGAAACAGCTCTTTTTCTATGTATAACACAAATTTTACAAGCAGTCTAAGTAGAACGTTTTCCTTTTTTAAAATAAAAGAGCATAACTTGATGAAAATGAAGGTGTTTCTAGGTGAATAGTGTTCTAGCGAATGCTTTTAGGTTCTTCATTCTTAACACTACATTGGGAGGAAAATTACACAAAAGTACATTCAAGAATTAAGCATCATGAGCAGAAAAAAATCATATTTTAAGTATCCGTTTCAATCAAAATCACTTCTCACTAGCAGTAGCAAAATAATTAGAAGAAAATGCGCTTTGATTTGGAAAACAGCAAAACTTTCCGAATGAACCCAATATAAAAAGTGAATTAATGTTGAAAGCAAATCATAACAGTGTAAACGGTCTTTAAATGCGAAAAATGAGCAAGAGAATAATTTTTAATATTCCATATCTTCGAAAGTCATGTCAAATCAGCGTTTAGACTTTATAAATCTCAAAAGTTCATATTCATTGGATATTGCAAATTATGCAGAGCTTAATCCAATTTATATTATATCCTTCATTGTGAATTCATGTTATTCAGATGAAAGAACCTAGTGTTAATAAATATCTTTTATTTCCCCTCTTTAGTCACGTTTCATTTTGTGATGATTTCATGCCTTACAAACCAACATTCATTTTCAATGTTTTTCATGAGTTATCGCTTTTATTTTATTAAAAATTTTGTTCAAACTTATAATGTATATTTCGTGTTAACTTTTCTTGATTACCTTTTAACTCATTTACAATATCACTTTCAAAACACAACAAACATACATACATTGAAGAAGAGAATAAATGTGCGCTATAGACAAAATTCCATAAAGTAAGTTTGATTTGGCTCGCGTAGGTTTTGTTTTTATCAAAATAAACATAATTTCATACGAATTTAAGTTAGACAAGGGCACGTTCTTTTAATTTAGCCTCTAGGCTTGTGTTAGTGTATCCAGATAGTGTTTAGTTTATTTAAGAGAATTTTATCACTCGATAGGAATAAGACTCATTACTTTTATGGTTGTAATGAAAGTACAAGTAAAGTAAATGTATGCTTAGAAGTATAGAGTAACTTAAGTGAATTTCAAAGTACAAGTGGATATTTTTGATAAACATGATGTTGGATATTGTGAACATAGGGTTGTCAAGTTAAAATTATAATTTAAACGCGAACTAAGTTAACGTATATTTTCTGAAGGAAACAAAATTAAAATGTGGCAATACCCATAATTATATTAAAAGCTAAAAAATATTTCAATATACATTTCCTCTTATCATCACATAAAAATCGCTCATTTTAATAATCATTCAAAAAACTAAAATCTTTGGCTTAAGTGTAGTCAGATATAACACCTGTTTGCCATATATCTTGCGAAACGTAATGCGTTCTTTATTTGCTGATTAAGATTTTAGAAAGTCTTTCCAGATTAAAAAAAAAAAAAGATAATTTATGAAGATTTTGATAAAATTTTGCAGTACTTATTCGAAATAAGCATTTCTTTTCAAGGCCTTACAATATCATTAAAAGATTTCAGGAACATTCTGCTTTTGTTTTCCCATTACCTTTAAATGCATACTGTTACTGCCCCTGAGAATACAAGAACAGATATCTTCTCCGAGCATGACCTTATAAACTAAAATTAATTGTCAAGTAACTAAACCAAGTAACTCAGAACTAATGAGCTAAATATTTTACATCATTTCTCCACCTCTATATTAAATGCACTCATTAGAAAAATTTAGTTAGTCTTCGGCAGCATATCTAAGCTTCTGAAGATCCTCCTGTTTTCTATTTCAATTTCCCATACTCAAATAACAACTTTTAATTTTTCTCAATACCAGGATGTTTGGAACCCTTAGATCCAACAGTGGATCACAATCGTGATTCCATGCGTATACACACATATATATATGTAAGATAAAAAATATTGTAAATATAAATTATAATTTAAAGTAACAATAGTCCCTTAATTCCTCTTTTTAATTTGGGTACTTCTCCTCTTTATTTTAAATATAACTCTCTATATTAAAAATAACTTTTCCTAAACTGCGCCACTGAAAAACTAACCTGCAGTGTCATCTGCATTGCGCAGAGGTCTTAGCCAGCAGTACTTTTTGTCCAGATGGAATTTCCGCGGGAATTGGTTCTAATCATCGTATCATTTCTTCACAACAGGTCCTTCTCAGTGAGACAAGGAGATTGCAACGCTTTTAAAAAGTTAAATCCTGGTTTTCAGAAACTATAAAGTTCAAGATAAATTGGACTATAACTCTCTTCGGAAAGCAAGTCCCGCTTGCACATTCGATTAAATACTTAGGAATTTTGTTCAACAGATTATTCACTTGGTCTACGCACATTAGCAGTGTAAAGTCATGTGGTATCATTCTCAAACTTTTCCCATTACTCTCAAGTTACTCAATATTGCCTTTACGTTACGTCTTTATAAGGCTATCATCTGCCCGATCTTTATTTACGCGTCACCAGTCTGGGCAAGTGCGAAACAAATATACTGAAGGAGTTGCAAGTCTTGCAAAACAAGTTGTTACGCATTATCACTGACGACCCTTACTTCATATGTAACGAACGTTTGGACCATGATTTGAAAATTGACGTCATAAAGAAATACCTAAACAAACTTAATGTGAAATTCTACAACAAGACAGCAGCGAATACTACTACAAATTTCGCTGCCTTTTTAAATTATGAAATCTTAGAAGACGATTGTTTTCCATTCGTCCGTATGCTGCATATCTTCTGCGGCAAGAAGGATTTGTCACCTGACATGCGGTTTCACCCATGATCTATGCATAGCCGAACTGCCTGTTACGCTTGATGATGTAAATTCGTAAACATTGCATGTTTTTCTTTCTCATGTATTGCCTGGATTGGACATCATCACCTGGAACTTGACGTTATTCTCCCAGTTGGAAGCACGCATCTTCCCTGTAGGGCTATAGATGGCACCAAACGCGAGACGACTCTATCTGCTACGGAGGCAAAGCGCATGTTCTCTACTTTTCACTATTCAAGACCTTCTACGACGGACAGATTTCTTCATTCATTGTTCTCTAGGAAGTACTGCTTAGGCAGTTACGACGCAGAATAGCACTGTAGTATCGCATTCACTTTTCCTACTATTGGCTTTTCTTTCTAGTCTGTCTCACCGCTGCTCTGCATTGTCTATTGTTTTGACATGTTATAAGTGTATATAAATTTATGTGGTGACTGTCGCATCCAGAATGACGTGGAAATCAAGAATATATGTCCTAAGAAATTATTATTAAAAAAATAAAATCATGTGTTTTTTTACCTACAAAGTATTCAACGTCTGCAAGTTTTTTTTTTTTTTTTTTTTTTTTTTTTTTTTTTTTTTTTTTTTTTTTTTTTTTTTTTTTTTTTTTTTTTTTTTTTTTTTTTTTTTGATATGCAATTTCGCCAGCACCATCTTTTAACATCAGCTATGATTGCAATTATTTGTGTCTTGTGTCTTCTCTGGTTCCGTCATCACTGACATTCCAGTGTTTTCAGTGGAGTTATTCCAAGTTCAGTGTGTAGTATAATATGAAAGATTTTTCAACGACAAGGAAATTAAAAATCAAGATGTTCATGCCATAGCTATTACATACAAATCAATGTTTTGACTAGACCGTGTCTGATAACTATAGCGTTACTCTAAAGACATATTACTGAAAGTAAATCTAAGAACTCACGATGTAATACAGTGAGCTGCTGTAAGTACCCATCTGCTTCCAATCAAGGCTCCACCACATAGATATTGATTTTTTGCATTGATCAAAGCTACCTGCAAAATGAAAATAAATCATTTCTATTAATGCTGATGTGTTTGACTCTGAAAAATCTAAAATTTAGTGGAGAGAGATATGGCAGAGAAATCTAAAATTTAATATAGATAAATTTGATTACTTTTTGATAGCTCTAAAGTTTTCCGTTTGAAATTATTTTCTTGGAACATAATTTTTATGTATAATTAAATAAAATGTATTTTTATATTCGTAAGTTTCACCTGCCAGCACCATTCGCCGGGAGCGGCCGTTTTGCCTCCCACGACCCGAGCTGTTTTCCTCCTCTGGTTACCCTTAATTCCGCAGACGTACATACCCGGTCGTCGACTCGTATCATCAGTGGCTAAAATTACAAAAGTAATAATTAATAATCAATATTTATCAAAATGCTTTAGTAAATATTCTTTCAATATTTATCTTAGAGATGCAAAAGGTTAACTTATGGCTGATATTAATATAATGTATGGAAGGATGGAAAGTTAAATATGTTTTCCATAAATACTAGTTTGCAGAGTGAATATACAGTTAAAGGGTATTAAAAAAATTACTTTCGCTTCTTGTGTTCTGATAATATGGTTCGGTACTTAAGAATCGAAATGTTAACAATTACGAGCTTGGTTTCTCTTCTGTGAGTCTTCTTGTTTAACTACGAGTGAAACATCAATTAACTAAAACTTAGCATTCTAATAAGGAAAACGTAAACATGAACTAGTTTCCGTTAGAAAGATCTCCACGAAGTTATCTCTTACCATACAGAGATTGCTTTCGTGTGCTGTAATGTAATCGATTAACTTAATACAGCAGAAGAAAAAACATGATTACCACACTCCAGGTTAAAGTTGCCAAAATGTTTTTTTTTATCTCTAAATCTGGCTAATTACTTAATTTATCTTGGCACTTGAGTTGCCTTTTCTGATGTAGCACAAGTGCAGGAAAGATTCTATACAAGTAATAATGTATTAATTAAAATAAACTGTACTGTTGTTTTGCGGAAATGTCATACTCTCCTTCTTAAGGCACTAGTCGTATATTCTTAACTTCGGTGGAAGTATGACGTCGGTATAATTTTTCGACAGAGCACTGACTATTCCCTTCAAGGCATAAAAACGTCCAGGTTTCCTTTTCTTTCTTTCGTTTTTTTCTTATGATGATGAGGGAAAAATCCAAAAGTCGTTCTTCAGAAGATAAGCAAGAAAATACAGAAATTCCTATGAGTCGCATTCTCAGATTTCTGAATGTACACTTTAAGGAGGAATTCGCTGTCGAGAAGCCACTACAACTCATGAAGGTGGCAAAGAAACAGAGCAGTATTTTACTTCCAGAATACCAGGAAACAGGTAAACAGCGGAGTATCTGCATTAAACATAATGGGAACTTTCCTGAGTAATGTAAAAATAAGGCTTAATGCTTTCACGGATAAAGAATGAAGAAGAACCGGCGATCCTTCTATGTCAAATTGAGTTCATACATTAATATTAAAGGCAATTTTGCTCTTACTAATTATAAATTACTTACTTTTTGATTATATCGTGTTTAATCTACATTGAATACACCCTTGCTCCCTATAAATTGAATAAGCATGAAATATGAAAGCAGAAAAAATTACTCAGTATCATTTTGACACCTTTGTCCTGCGTTCACTTAGCTAGTTGAAATTTTTCTGTTAATAATATGATATTGATCATAATTGTCTTTTTATTTTATAACAAAATTGTATGAATAGCATTGTCACGCAATATAAATTCCAAAATTTTGTTTCCAGTCAACTAACATCTACGATACACAATTTTAAAGCAAACCCAATTTGGTGTTCTGAAACATTCCTTTGTTGTCTTCTTTTGTAAAGGATAACAGACAAAATTTCCTTTGAATTCTACCATCCATTGATCTTGCTTGTGCATTTAACCTTGTCTAGACGCCTGCAGTTTTAACCAAAATTTACACAATAACAGACGACGAAATGTAATATATAGAAATGTTCGCTGAGTTAGAAGCTATACACTTTTCTGTATCTGCGCTTTCTTTTAGCAGATGTCATATATAGTCACTGTAATTATGGTGGTATTTTTACTAGTTTCACCCTAATTTTGGCAGAGCTTGTATTAACTTTGTGTAACTCCCGAATATATTAAAATTTACACTGAACGGTTCATTTTTTTTATCACAATCCCTTTAAGTGGTAGACTAGACTAAATTATATTTTCTATTTTGCGTTTTCTCGCAAGCTAAACAACTCAACATGTTTCAATTTATTTTATTTCCTATGAAATTATTGTTAATAACTTGAGTAGGCAATGAAATTGTAATGCTCTAAGAGCAAGGTAAGATTTAAATAAAGACTAACTTGTTTTCTTCTTTAACATAGAAAGACGGGCAATAAAGGTTTTGTAAATGTGTTTATAAATAAAAGATTTTTACCTAAATCAGGAAAAAAAAGTTTTATATATCATCCATCTCATTCGTTTTTGACAGTTCCTTATAACGGCAAGTTCCTCTTTCAGTATCATAAGACGAACTCTTGCCACATGGCTTTGAATGTCTGAAACATCCAAAAACTATTCTCTCTTTAGGATCGTGTCAAGTGTGAGAAAAGTAGAAAGTTTACTGGAGTAATATTAGCGGAGCAAGGAGTAAAATCAAAGGCTACAACTCCTCTAGAGTGCATAAACTGTTTAATAACGAGGACTGAATGTGGCCAGGCATATCATGAACAAGAAACAAAGAGCCAGCCTCAGTGTATTCTGGACGAACACCACGATTCTTTGCGATTAATTTGACAGAACATCCTTACACGTGTTTGCATTCATTGTCGTTCTTCCTGGATAATATCATTCTCACACTTCCAGTGTTTACGCCGTTACGTGAAGTCGTAAGCTTATCCCTTCGAACAGCATCTTCAGTGGAATCCTGTCCATCTCAAAGCATTTAAACTATTCAAAAATGAACATTTAAAGATACCGTTTTATCTTCCTAAACTTGTTTCAGCATATTTTTACATTCTTTTTTTGTTTTACGAAGCTTGAAACAATGGTTTAAATTCGTCTGCTGCCATTTAATAGCCATTGCTATAATTTTGCACATTTAAGCGAATGTCTATTTCTAAACCTTGATCAGACATGTAAAAACACGTTAGAAGTACTTTTTACTTGCTTCACCTTTCGTGAACTGCTGCGCATATGCATTCCTGACATCATTCTCTAAACTTTACTGTAATACCTTGTACAACTGTTTCACGAGGATACATTAATTTTCTCAACTGTGACATTTAATTTTAACTGCTACACGCTTAACTTACCCAATAACATTTTAAAAACTTTTATTTAACAACGAACTAACTTAATCCAAATCAGGAGCGGCAAACATTTTTTAAAGAGTCAGTTTGTAGAGACATTAGGTTATTTTGAGGCCGGAGAGATGAAAAGTTAGCAACACCTTCACAGGGAATCGAGCCACGGACCTCTGGAATACGCGCCCACGTACAGACCACCACACCACGAAGGCATGCCAAGAAGGCGGAGAAAATACCTTTTAAGTTTACAGTGGCTCACGTTTGTTGTACACATGCACTTTTGAAATTTATTTGCATAGATCTTCTACTAAATATTGAAACACAGAATTCTAAGTTTTTTTCTTACACATTACGTTTTCTTCTATTTTAAGCCTTGCTTGTAACAAAATAAATATCGTGAAAATATTAATTGTAATAAAATAATTTGTTCAAAAAGTGTTAATCGATAACTCACATAATAACTTTAAATTTTTACTGAGATGTTTTGTTAGAAGATGTTTCTCATTTTCCTACTTTTTTTTTTTTTTTTTTTCTTCAGATGAAAATACATTAAAAGACTTACTGCCCGCATTTAGAAATTAAGATTTGTTTAGCAAAATATATTATCAGTTCCATATCTGAACTGAACATAGCAAGACGATACTCCAAAAATTGTTCATGTAAAGCGTTCAACTATCTATGCTGTTACGAAACAACGGAAATTGTGCGGATCTAATAAAAACCGAAACAAGATATGAAACTTAGTGCTGTAAGAGCTTACAGCGGATTTATAAAACAGTTTGAAAGAAAAGTTAATATTGAAATTATTAGAAGGATCATTAGGGCATAGAGATACAATGGGCTATCAACAAGAAGTTTTCGTCAACAAGAAGTCAAGGAAAATATTTCTGGCATTCGCCCAATCCACGATATATTTATAGAAGTCAAAATGTAATATATTTAGGTCCCGATGGGAAAATTAATGTTTGAGGAGACCTGAATGCAGAATTGAATCCGAAAAACCGCTTGCCTACTGTTAAGCACGGGGTATGGTAGCATAATGGTTTGGGTATGTTTCGCTTTCTTTGGGAGAGAAAATTTAGATTTTATAGAAAATAACATGAATCAGTATAAGTATATAAATATTCTTAATAAAAACCTGAAAGCATCTGTTAGGAAACTTGAAATGCAAAATACATTCAAGTTCTTTTAAAATAATGATTTTAAACATACTGTCCGAAATGCTCGCTTAAGGTTATATATAACTGTTCTATACTTAACAAAACGCCATATTTTCCGTACTTATGTCCTATCAAACACGTATGGAGTGAGTTGGAGAAAAGAATAGGGAAACACGATATTAATTTGACAGATCTACTGAAAGCAAATTTTACGGTGTTGGTGTATTTAATTATGGCAAAGCACACGAGGGCTATCTGCTTAAGGGGAGGGATGCCTTTCGTGGAGAACTTTCTAAGGGAAACTGGCTCGTATACACGTTACACATGGGGAAAACCACGAAAAAAACACCCATGCAGCCAGCCCGTTCGCGGGATTCGAACCTCGGACCGAACTACCAGTGTTCAGCGACTTTACCGCTCGGCCGCTGTTGGGCGCAGTTTTTAAGGAGGACTGGAAGAAGAATGCAACATTCTTACATGAAAATATAAGCTGAATTTATGGCAAGGTGCATGAAAAGTGTAATTTTAACTGAAGGATATCCAAAGAAATAATGAATGTCTGTCTCGTTATTTGCATGTATTAAATACAAACTGTTTGTTCAAAGTGCCTGAATATTTATACGAGTTCTGTTGCAGGACATTTGGAATAACTTAGTCTGTTTATCAGAAACGTTTTGAATAAAATGTTTCACATTAAGGAGGTTTAAAAAAGATGATGGTATATGTGAAAGAAAAATAAAATCGTTTTGCTAATACTTAGTAACTGATATTTTCAAATAAAATTGGAAAGCATATGTGTCAGAAACAGTGGCGTACGTAGAGATCTTGGGCCCCTGTGCAAAAAATTTTCCTGCCTCCCCAATAAATTTACTGTGCTTAAAAAGGAAGGAAGAAAATCTAGATTTGCGGAGATTTTTAAATAAAATCCGGTAGGTTTTACATGCAAGCATATTTCGAGTTTCTATATAAAATGCGCCAATTCAATTTTTTCGCTTAATTTAGAAAGCTAGTAAATAACTGGTTATGTTATAAACTGACAGACAACATGATAGGTAAAACGTACAAAAAAGAAATTGCACTAATATATAGCGCTCTGTGATCAAACTGAGCTTACGAACATGACTTATGCAATAATATAAAAGTCATAAATAAGAACTTTTATAATGCAAATGATACATTTGTTAAATATAAAACATATTTATCATAAATTTCATAAAGAAAACTATTTGAACATACAATTTTTGTAGAAAATATGTATAGTAAAGTTTCCCCCCTTTCTTTTAAGAAAACTTTTTGGTATCGAATACATGATTTTTATCGTGTACTTGAATTCATGATTTTTATACATGTTTTAAGTTTAAAAGTGTAAATGTAGTCCATCAGGAAATTCATGGGCGCCTAAGCCTTCGGGCCCCTATGCGACTGCATTCCTTGCATACTCTTATTTACGCCACTGGGCTGAAACTGAAGCTGCCACTGAAAATTTTTTCTTGTGGTGGCCGGCTGCGCTAAATGTTATGTTAGTAAGTATTTAGGAAATACCCTCATATACGTCCTCAAGTAACAAACATTGTGTTGTATTAACATCAAATAATCTTTCTATAAAACTGGTCTTAGTAATACAAAAATGTAAATTATGCAAACAGATTTTGTTAACCAAGTTGCTTTGAAATTATTAATATTATTATTATTATTACAGTACAATGAATTTAAAGTCATCTCAGAATGTATAAATTTTAGAAACTAAATTTTTTAAATTCACTTAATTACAATAAATTATCACTATGATATATTCAAAAAAGAAAGAGTTTGAAACCAAATTCTGAGTTGTTCTTTTTATTTTGTGTTTGTAACTAACGTATTTAAAAGAAAAACGTGCAATGAGAATTTTCTGACGCGTATATGTATTTTAGCTAGTTATATTTTGTTAACAGAAACAAGCATATTAGCTTTTATAAGAGCGTAAATTAATGAAAGCATTCAGGTAAGAACAGAAAATATACCTAATTTGAAAGAAAGATCTGTTTAAGGCGAGTCCGTTCTTCTTTAAAGATCGGTTATTGTTTAGATGATATCCAGATTAAAATTACATTTACCAAAGTTCTCACTTCTTTTCAAAATGTCTATAATAATCGACAAAGGATCAGAAAGTAAGCAGAGATAACAAAACTTGTAATTGATATTAAGAGCTGTTTAGTTAACAATATACAGTATATCAAAAAAAAAAAAAAAAAAAAAAAAAAAAAAATTCTGAAACAGAGATGATGTTCACCTATCATTTCGGTTAATATATGCAGTTAGTAATAAGATAAATCGAAATTTTTAATAAATTTTAATTTCTTTTCCATCGGGAAATCTCAAAATGGCATTTATCATTTATAGATTTTAATATTTCTTAAAATTTCTTAGTGAACACAGACGTATGAGAAATATTGTACAGTTTTGTTCACATGAATGCCTTCGAGATGTATTTTAAGTATAAATTGTTTTCTTTTTCCTGGTTCAAGAATTAAAACTAAATAGATGATGGTATACTGTATGGAAATTTCTGTTCTTAACAAAATATAATATATTTCTTCTTACATTTTTACTTTTAATTGATTCTGGGTAATTTCTACATTTAATTAGTTTAATTAATTCCTACTTTTAATAAATACTAATTTATATAAAGAATTATATTCAGTTTATACTCTGAAATAAGATGTACGGTTTTGAAAACGTTTGGTTTGATATGAATAAATTTAGTAGAAATGATTAATTGAAACAATAAATTGTTTCTTCTGATGAGGATATGATTAAAATTAATCATAAAATTCAACTCATAACATATTATAAAAATAACTACATTAAAATACTTAATTACAAAAATACCTACATTTAACATATTACAAAAATGACTACTTGAAATGAAGAAATTAATATATGTTAATTTACATATATTTTATAAATGATGGAGAGAAAACTTACCATCTGTTTTACTTCCACTATCTGGTTTTACTAGTACTAAAGCATTCCCTGTTTTTAAATGCTCTTCGTACTTTTCTATGTGTTCTACAGATGTGCAGCACATAGTTCCTTCTTGTTCACAGGCAAAACCATCGTAAATAGCATTATTTCCGAAACAAGTGAATCTCAAGAACGGTGCAATACAAGATCCCGGACAAGCAGGTTTAACTTTTTTACTTTGTTCTACTTTAACATTTTCAGAATTAATATCTGATGAACTTAGAATGCTTTCCTCAGACATGTGAATAGGCTCAATCTCTGGCGACAATGTCGCTGTTTTCTGAGCTGATGAAGACTGTGGACGTGGTTTCAAGGGCCGTTGGCTTGGTATAGGCCTGAAGGATTCTTGATATGGTACAAATGTTGTTTTCATAGGATCCTGTGCTTGAGGTACTACTTCGTGTACTGTGTCTACTTGGCCTGTAGGTTTTGTCATATGTAACACGATAATTGTTGACGCATTTGGCGCACCACTGGGTGGAGATAGTATGGGTTGAGAAAATTCCGGAGAAGGAGGCGGATGAAACTTTTCCAAATTAGGGGGCTTTTGGGGAAAGCCAACTGGAATTGGCCTCAAACTATCTGGTGCAATACCTATATTACTATTAACAAAACGATCATGAGAATTATGCTGATTTTGTTTATTTGTAAGTTTACTTCCTTGTTGAATCTGAGATGAAGAAGCAGAAGGAATAATACGCACTGGTTCGTTCTCAGATGCAGGTTTATTTGGTAAATAATCGGATGGATTCCTTATAGGTATATGAGTGATATTTGGTTTCCTTCTATCGAAATTGTATGAATTTTGTTCCTCCTCATGAGGAGATATGTGGGGAGAGTGGGGTGCCATAACTGTTAATCTCACTGGTTGTTGGTTTTCGATTCCGATATTTATTGTTTCAGATCCATGTGGAAAATGCTGCTGCTGATAAGGATTATTACCATAATTCACATTTTGTGGATAACCAGGTTTTACGGCTGGACCATTATCTGATGATGGAACTTGGGGTGCAACTACGTATCCTGGATAACCTGCTGCTATGTAGCCTTGATTTCCGCCAGCTTGGTTGTGGATATGCGGAACAATAAGTGAAGGCACAGGTTTTCCCACAGGCGGAACTTGTGGCCTTTGTGGATAAGGGTGAGGAATGGGAGGAGGCCGAATGTGGGGTATATTATTTTGAGATCCCAGAGGTATGGCCTGATATTCAGGCTGCGAAGCAATGGGACGTAACAGAGGAATCTGGGGCGCATCACCATGCAGGTGGTCTTTCAAATCTGGTTGATAACAGCAAATAAAATCTCCCTCACAACCTGTTTGCGGTATAATTTCAGAGGGGTAGTTACACATGTCTTGCAAAAAAGTAGGAATACATGCTCCAGGGCAAGGGATATCAGATTCAAGAGAAACCGCATCTGCGGTCGACGGTTCCGTTTCTACTTCATCATTGCTAATGCAACATCTACCATCGTTGGCACAATAATAATTTTCATTCACAGCATCACACAAGAGGCTAAAAAGAGGGGCAACACATGATCCAGGGCAAGGAGGACTAGGTGGTAAAGTCGAAGGCTCAGGAGTTACAGCATTCTGAATAGGCTTTGGGTTTTCATGTATATGCTTATCATTGGGCCTTGTAACAGGTTTGTAAGTAGTTGTAGGAGGCACTTGCTGTGGTTCCTCATCTTGATTTGAAGAACAGCAAGTTGTACCCCTTTCGCACTGCCCTTCAGGAAGAGTACCGCTGCAATATCGAACGAAAATATTTTCTACGCAAATACCTGGGCACGGCCGAGGTTTTTTAGTCGTCTGTATAGTTTGTGGAGTAACTGTCTGGGATGCTGTTGGAGGTAATGCAGATGGCTGTGGCTGGGATGATTGCTGGGGATTATTGGAAGCCGTGTTTTTATCGGCCTGTGTTGTCAAGAGGTATACATTATATTCTGCTGTTGTCTCTGTAGAAGTTTCTTCAGGAAGAGGAGCAGAAGTTTCCACTACAGTTCCAAAGTTAAAGTCACTACTGACGCAGCATCTCAAATAAGATGCACCGCACTGAAATTGTTCTATAACTTTACTGCATAAAATAGAAGTGAGAGCATGAACACATTCTCCAGGACATGGTAGCTGTGGCTGATCGCTGTTTGATTCGTTCCTAGGAGCTTCAGAAGCTCCTAATAAACCTAAATTAAAAATAAACATGACATAAATTATGGATCTGAAAATTACAAAATTTAAACTAACGAATTAAAATAAAAAAATAGCTCACATAAAAGGGCTTCTAAGTGTTGCGAAAATAGTTGTATCATTAACATCAAAAATACACTTCTCTGCTTAGATCTAAAATGCTACATTATTTTCCTCACACGATTATAATAAATATTGCACATTATTTATAATTTTTCAAATTTACGGCTAGAGCGTGAAATGATTTTCTTATAAGCGGTAATATGGTATGGTGAGCTTATATTTTAATGAAGTACAGAATACTTAAATACACAACACAAATAATAGATAAATCAACTATTTCTATATAAGATATTCATTATGTTCCTTAAAAATGCCATTCCATGTAAATGCATGTTGCTAGGAACAAAGGACTTGTACAAAAAACTGGAATATATATTAAAATATAATTGCTACAAACATGTTTATTAAGAATACCACAAACTGATCAATATCATTTATAAATTAATATTTCTTACTCACTATAGAGCACAAACATAGAGTACAAGAACTTTGATTACGTTTCCTTTCCAAATCCCCATAAATTCTACAGCTTAAAGAAAGTTTAAAGTTCTGTATTAAATTCTGAAGCTGCTTAAATTTAAAAAAATACTGTTTTTCAGCAATAAAAATCTTACTTGTTTGTTAATATTTGTAAATAATCTTTTCACAATGATATGTTCTTGATAAATTACATGTGAAAGCCTTTTACTTCATCTTAATATTTTAATATATTTAAATTTGTTTGTCTTATCATCTGGAATTTTACAGATACAGTCTAGCTTTAAATAAAATTTAAAACTGGCAATATTGTTTTTAACCGTATTGGAGTTATTTAGGATTATGTAGATTGCGGCAACGCACCTGAAGGCTATCTGCCTAATGAGTAGATGCCTTTCATGGGAGACCTTTTAATTGAAACTGGCTAGTATTTACTTAGCATTGTTAGAATGGAACAGTACTGCAGAAATGCCACGGTACATAGCGGTTGCATACACTGCTCTTAATTATTGCTTGTGTTAGGAAAAGTAAGTGTTTCTAAAGAATTTTGTTACAGTGTTAACTAATTTTTCAGCAAGTACTCTAAACATCACAATAACATATTGAAAGTGAAACAAGCGATAGAGCTTTATTTACATACTTAGTTGATATTACAATTTCCTTTAAGCTAGACTTAGTTATTGAAATACCAGTTTTCATATTAAAAGTTGATTGTTGAAAGAAATCCTTGTTAATAAATACAGTTTAAGGGTAAGCTCGTGATACGAGGATTTATAAATTTAAAATGTAACTTTCCTTGGTAATGGATAAAATATATTTAATTCCTATTTAATTATTTTTGTTTTTTTATTTTAATATAACAAAAATGATAAGAGTAGGACGAAAAGGATCGGTTAATTGCGTCGTTCACTGCTTCTTCAATAAAATATTTTATTTCTGTTTTTCGAAATAAGGGGGAGGTAAGGAAAAAAAGTAACTTCAGTTTATCTTCTAGAAAATAAGCATATAATGTTCCACTTTACCTTATAATAGTTATGTGCTAATTTCAATGAAACTGACCAATATTTAACAAAAGAATTTAACATGCTGTCAGGTCAAAGAAGTTTAACACGCTATGAGGATCTTTCAGATCGATATTATAACTGATGTAGATAATAGGCTATATTACACTTAAAACTGAGCCTATTACGCAATTTTATTGATCTCCAAATGCCAGGGCAATAGGTGATGCTTTACTGTTACAGGACGACAATGCAAGACCACACAGGGCTTACAGTAGCTGCAGCTACTGTAAGCCAAAAATTACATATGAGTGGACTATACGCCCAGGAACCTCGAGTTTGTGTTCCTCTATTCGTCCAACAAGAGGGGCACGATTACAGTAATATGTCAATTGGATGTGTCTGACTGGGGCAATGTCATATTTCTGATGAGTCAAGATTTGCTCTGGAGCAGATGACAAGTATAAGATATGGCGTGAACAACGAACACGCAATCAGTACAAAACATCACGAACATCACACATTCCGAGGTGTAAGATTATGGTGTGGGCAGGATTTCATTAGGATACCGCCACCGACCTGCAATTTTTAAACGAGTTCTTTGGACGGTGTCAAATATATTCAAATATATTTGAAAACTTTCCTTTGCAAAATTAGGGGCTGATCGTCTACATGAGATACAGTATGTCTTTAAAATTTTGTGTTTCAATTCGTACCTAGATTTCTAACCAGATAATTTAGGTAGGTAACCAGGAATCTAGTTAGGTACTACAGGGTAAGAAATCTCAGGAAAATAAATGATAAACATGATGAGCATTTTTTTCAGTAAATTGCTAATTTTGAGAAGAAAAATTTCAAAGACATCAAATTCCAACATGTTTGCTGATATTACTAAAATTTTCAAGAGGAAAGATACCCAGATGAAGTCCAACAGAATACACATACTTCCAGCTTTTAGATGATTTCTTTTCTTTATGTATAGGTAAATTTATCTATTCTCAGGTAACTTTAATTACATGTTGCAAAAGTTCTTCCCTTATAGGAAACTTCTGACCGCATACTTTTTAAAATTCATCAGCATAATTATATATATTCAGAGTAAAAAATCGCTCTGTAAACATTTTCGTCCCTGCTGGGTTCACATGAACTGGAATATATATTAAAATATAATTGCCTACAAAAGTTTATTAAGAATACAAAACTGATCAATCATTTAAATTATTATTTCACTCCTATAGAGCACAAACATAGAGTACAAGAACTTGATTAGTTTCCTTTCAATCCATAAATTCTACAGCTTAAAGAAAGTTTAAAGTTCTGATTAAATTCTGAAGTGCTTAAATTTAAAAAAAATACTGTTTTCAGAATAAAAATCTTACTTGTTTGTTAATATTTGTAAATAATCTTTCACAATGATATGTATTGATAAAACAGTGAAAGCCTTTTACTTCATCTTAATATTTTAATATATTTAATTTGTTTGTCTTATCATCTGGAATTTTACAGATACAGTCTAGCTTTCACCTTAGAGTTCACCTTAGCTGTTCACCTTAGAGTATTTTTGTGCGTCTTTTTCATGTTCTTTAAAGGTGTAGAAACATTAGCTATTTTTTGGAAGCAGGAATGATGAAACGTCAGCAATGCCTTCGCCGGGAATCGAACCTCGGACCTCTCAAGTACGCGCTGCAGACCAACACACCGCGAAAGCTCGCTAAGAAGGCGGGAGAAATACCTTATATACTCCGCCTTTTAAAGGGCGACTGGGGTTTTTAGGGGACCCAGTCGCAAAATCCTGGGTGAGGAGAATCATCATCCAACACCCTTTTAGTTCGAGCGTCACTTTAAAGACATTAGGCATTTTTCGAAAGCAGGAGAGATGAAAAATTAGCAGCTCCTTCGCCAGGAATTGAACCACGGACCTCTCAATTACGCGCTGAGCGTGCAGACCACTACACCACGAAGGCTCGGTAAGAAGGCGGGAGAAATACCTCATAAAGGAGATCCTTAAGACACAATGTTTAATGATTTTTCTTATTTACTATGGTAATAAACCATTATGCCTTCGTTAAAAAGTGAAATTGAAATTTAAAAATAAATTTTAAATATTGAAGTTAAATACAGAGTTCTCTAAAGATGATCTAAGATTAGAATTTGAATTTGTACATGCTTTCTGAGTCTTCTTTACAGATACTGTAACGCATTAGCCTACTAAAGTAACATGCAAGGCCTCTAGAAAGCAGCATGCGTTTGATAAAGAACGAAAGAATTTAATTAAACAAAGTCTTTTATTTTGGATGTGATTATTTTAGGATATTATTTCAATAAATCCCCATAGCACTGAGCCACGATACCTGAAAACAAGCTTTAGCATAACCTTCTCTTACATTTCTGCCGCTTGTCCATTGCTTATTGCCATTTGTCATTAGTCGGAACTCTTGTTGTGGCGTTCAGCTTCACTTTGACAATTTCACTTAAGTTTTACTAACATTGAAGCTTATTTCATTTGCCAAAAGTTTATGCAAATGATGAGCAGATGAAAGAGAATTTAAAAGCTAATTGATTAACTGCAAATCATGCTTAGCGATGGAATGAACGCAGGCGTGCTGATTGTCAGAAATAAAGCCGTTCTATATATCAGAAATTGCAATGGTTTCCGTTTTATTACTAAAGGTTGCTAAATGTCATAGCGATTATCTGAAGGAAACAATCAGATATGTTGTTCGAGAGCAATTGTATTTGGTGACTGTAATGCTTCAAGCTGCAATGCGCAATACTGCTGTTTTCTCAATAGCAAAATTAATATGGCTGTAGAGAAGAAATCCACCTTTCTTTAGTTGTAATAGATTACACAGCTTTAGTTGTAACTTACCAACAGTGGAAAAGTTGAGTATTTATTTGAAATTTACATCTGTGATTATGTACAAATTAAACATCGTCAAGAAAACAGCTGACAATGACAAGTAACTCTAGAAAGTACTGTTAGATGGACATATTTTCAGAATAATTTCGGTAGTAGAGTTATATCATGTAGTCAATCACACACAACAGCTGCTCTTTATGTAGATGACGACACTAGAAGAAGGTTTGGTAGCTAATGGCCTACGGCCTCTGACTTCAATCCTCAGGGCTTATTATCTTTTTACAAAATAAAAAGGTTTTTAAACAGAAAGAGTTCTTCTGGTAGTGAAAAGCTCCAGTTAACAGTAACTGCATTTTTCGAGGTACGGCCGACAAATGTATGCAAAAACTTATCTGCAGTACGATAAGTGCCTCTTTTTCATACGTGCTTATAAGAATTAATAGCCTCAAAAATGCACCTTCAAAATAAAAACATTAATTAAATTAATATCTTTCGTTTTTTTAGTACTAAGCAGGTACCACTTTCCGGATAGTATAACAAGTTGATGGTGGACTCTTTTCTGACATCAAAAAGCGAATTAGAAAAGCGAAAAGAA